CCCAAGTTTTCATAATTAATTATACACATAGTTGTCAGTTTATTACATTTTGTCATGAAAGAAATCGTCAATGGTATAATAGCATTTATCAATTAGAAAATTGTTAAGTTTCCGTTTAAATTGTGTTAAATTCAGATTCTTGATAGTATTTGGGATTTTATTATATATTTTGGGTGCCATGCAAAGGATACTTTTGTGCTTAAGGGCTGTCTTTGAGGCTCTCAGACATAATTCGTGTCGACGTTCTGATCTTGTCGATCTATGACGGTCCTCAGAGGCTTTTTTAAACAAAGTACTATTTTTTCTGACGAACAGTGCAGTTTCGTATATGTAAAGGCAGGGTAAAGTTAGTATTCTAAGAGATTTAAAATGAGGTTCACAACTGTCCGTTACTTTCAAGCTACACATCGACCTAATGCACCTTTTCTGTGCTTTAAAAATAGTACATTTCTCGGAGGAATTTCCCCAAAAAATTACACCATATCTTAATGTGGATTCAACATAACCATAGTATGCAGCAACAACTGCTGCCTGGTTAACTATTTTCTTGAGTTTGTATAGAGCAAAGGCAAAGCGACTTAATTTTTTTATAAGAATTGATGCATGTTCTTTCCAAGTCAGTTTACAGTCAATAGTTAGTCCCAAAAATCTTGTATGCTCTACTTCTTCAATTCTTTTATCGTCAATAGATATATTTATGTCAGAAGTAGTTGTTCTTTGTCTAAATTGTATAATTTTAGTCTTATTTACATTTAATTGTAAATTATTTTGATCAAGCCAATTAATTGATTGTTGCAAAGAATCTTTAATGTCACGTTCATAATTTCTATTTTTATTCTGTTCAATAATTATTGTGCTGTCATCAGCAAAAAGAACCATAGGAAAAGTGACGTGTTTTGGAAAGTCATTTATGTAAACCAAAAATAACAGCGGGCCCAGTACGCTACCCTGTGGCACGCCATAAGTGACTTTACGTGTTTTAGATAAATATTTAAGTTCCTTTTTACCTTTTTTTGAGACTCGTTTAATTTCCGTACACTGCGTTCTATTGTCAAGATATGATTGTATAAGTGAAAATGCTTTGCCCCTTATTCCATAAGCATTTAGTTTCTGTAGTAAAATATTATGATCAACTAAGTCAAAAGCTTTCGTCATGTCCATAAATATAGCACTAATTGGGATTCTGTTATCAATATTTGTGATTAAGATATTAAGGAAATCGTAGATAGCCATGTTTATTGATGTATTCTTTCTAAAACCTTTTTGTTCTTGTACTAATAGATTATGTTTTGTAAAAAAAGAATCCATACGGTGATGAATCGCTTTCTCAAATATTTTTGATATCATTGGTATTAGGGCAATAGGTCTATAATTATTTATATCATTTTTATCATTTTTCTTTATTGTTATTCTATATTTTTCTTTATTGTTATTCTATATTATAAATATAAAATATAAAAAAAAATAATAATGTATATTTATGGTAATGAAGTCCAATAATGATACAAAAACGATTTTTTTAACTTATGTTGTCATAATATTAATTTATTGGCGAATAAATGGAATATCGTGAATGTGTCCGACACATTTTTATCTATTTCCAAAAATCGTAAATTTTGAAATCGGTCACTTTCGTTCTCAGCGTGCGATATTCTCTCTGATAGATAAGGTAACAGAGGCGTCCGAGTTTGTTTTACGCCTTAAGTAATCGAAACGAGACCGCCGTCGGTTCTCTAAATGGTTCGTTCATTAAAGTCGGCCAATCAGACTAAGGCCTCTGAGATATATTTATTTATTTATACTTAATTGCACACACAGAAAAAAAAAATTGTAAACATTGCAATAGTAATTTCAGTACAATGGGCGGTCTTATCACATATAGTTACCGGGCGCTGCTGCTGACTAATGTATTGCGAGCAAATCTGGTGAAGCATGTTTCTGCCATAAAAGTATGCAGTAAAAGTACAGGGTTCAAACTTTGACAGATTGTAGTCGGCTCGATTACCGTGAGAAGCAAACTAATTTTAAAAATCTTGAAATGCAGTGTTTCATTTCAAAATTAAACGAATGTTTTCTTTGAGTAAAATTTTCTATCTAAGTGTTAAGAGTACTTTCCTTTAGGTGGCATAACAAAATTCTATCCTGTATATAGGCACACAACCTGAAAAAATCGTAGAGAAATAAGTATAAGGTAGTAACCTGTCTCCATGATGCCTGTTATCAGTGTCGCTGTCAGTGTCCGAGTCCTGGTTGTCGGAGTCGTTCTCGGCGTCCCTCTGCCGCGCCGCCTCGGCCTCCGCCTCCCCGCGCCCGCACTCGTGCATGCCCAGCAGCAGCGAGTAGTCCATCAGGTGGAGCTTCGTTAGGAACTGCGTAAAAACAGACCACATATTAATACTCGTGGCATATTATGTATGTGGGGAAGGAGGATTTAAAACAGTAGCGCCATCTATTATCATTAAAGAGAACTCTCTAATAATAGATAATAGATGGCGCTACTGTTTACAAACACATTGTATTAATAATGTGTTGTGTTACATGTATTTAGTGGGAAAAGGATACCTAAAATTGTTATTTGCTCGACATCGACAGATTTACTTACGAAAGAATTATCTCTAAAATCGGAAAGACTAACGAGGCATTTATTTACTATCTTAAAAGCTGAACAGTTTATTACTTACTTAACTCGTCGAGTACCGGTTTTGTAGACACAATTATAGAACAATAGGTTGCGGTCACCGGTGACCGCTTGGTGTTTGACAGTTTAAAGTACATATCACAAATAGACTCTAACTGTAATAAATCATCAAATAATAATATTTAACATTAAACCTCACCTCTACGTCAGCAGTGAGTGTCTCCAGTAACTTCTCTTTGGCAGCATCACCGATATCAATGCGGACTCCTTGCTTGATGAAGTCGTTGTCTTTGAGCGTCGGCAGGTCCTTCTCCAGTTCCTTCTCAGACGCCTCGCGGTCTACCGTAGACCCTTTTAAGTCGTATTTCCTTGAAAGATGGAATTTTATTACTTTTAAGTGAATATTATAGCTGATTTGTTGTATGTCGATTTAAAATTATAAATATCTATAAACAAAAATCTATAAACTTTGCTAGACGAGTTTATTATGGGACAGGGGTGTAAACTAGCTGATAGATTATCTGATAGTAAGGAATCAGAGCCGCTCATTGACACCCGCAACACCAAACTTGGCTAAAAGCCTGTATTTTGTACAGTTAATGGGTAGTTTCCAGGGTATCAAAATTAAAAATCTAATTAGTCCGTCAGTTCAATAATGAAAAAATATTGGCCACATATTTTTTTTTTATTTTCTCGTATTAAGTTGCAATACTTAGATAAAATGGCGCTAAGTTTAGGAGTGGGAGGTCGTTACGTCATAACGTGCTACAAAATGTGGCACGCTGTGACATCATACGATATTTCAAATTAATATATCGTCGAAAGTATTTAATTTTGTGAGAAAAGAAAAAATACGTTTTAAATTAATGTACCAGACGGACATTAAAATAAAATTTAGGAAACTATATTATACAAGTTTTTTGCCTTAAAGAGCTCTTTACCTTTATCTGTTTCAGGCAGACACACACTTATCCGAGTCGAAAGCGTCGAAGCACACCTCGCACACTTCGGGTTCGGACAATTCGACGCAGGGAAGTGAACGAGGTTTCATGAGATTTCATATACAGAATTCTAACATTCGTTTCGTTTTACACATTCAACGTGTTCGGTGCGGATAAGTGATAAGTGTGTCTTTAGAATCCTTTAGGACATTTTTAACTAACCCCGAACCTCCATAACTAGATATAAAATTATACTAATAACATTTATAAAGGTACAAATGTACCGACAAAAATCATAATTTCACGGCAACAGGTGCACATGCACTAACCAAGATGATTGACATTTGATTAAGCATTAGTTTTATATTAGTACAATGATATGAAACCTTATCATTACAACCTGTAGTACATAGAAACTGTTTAATTGTTTTATGATCAATACCGTGACTTGGCAACGGGGAGAGCAAGTTATGAATTCTATAATAATACAGGTACAAATGTCATTGAAACTGGAACTTTTCGAATTTATCCCTGACAAAGAGATACCAACAATCTGATAAATAGTAAAAATTAGAACTACATGTATCTGAGTAAAAGCTAGCAGAATGTGAACTAGAATAAACTATGTTATAATTATAAGTCATAAAAAGCCCGTTGCAGTATTCTGCCAGACTACATACTCCAGCAGAACCCTGCTTCTTGCACTACTTCTGCGAACATAGGAGGGGTTTGCCGAAATCACCACGCTACGTAAGGCTCTAAACAGACAAACAGCATTTCAACTGAAATCCAACTGCAAATTGCAGTTTGAACGCAGTTGACACGATTGCAATAGGACTGCAATCGGACTGCTCGTTTGGTTTGCAACTGTTGGGTCATGACTGCAATAGGACTGCAATCGGACTGCTCGTTTGGTTTGCAACTGTTGGGTCATGACTGCAATAGAACTGCAATCGGACTGCTCGTTTGGTTTGCAACTGTTGGGTCATGACTGCAATAGGACTGCAATCGGACTGCACGTTTGGGCTCGTTAGGTCCTCTCTAGAGCCTAAGCGAGTTGAAGGTCGCAGTTAAAATAGATCAGGTTTGTTAGAGACCAGCTGTTGCTCAGTGATTGTGAAATGTGTAAACTCTTAGTCGGATCTTGAGATACGCTCGGGAAAAAAAGGCGGTAACAAATGTCTGTGTTGACATCGCATGGTTAGTAAGTAAACTACTGCAAATTTAATTCTGTATCTGTATTTAGGTGACTACAATGAGACACGTCTTAAAATAAATAATGATAACATCGAAATTTCACACATGTCTTGCAAATAATGCTTGAATAAGATTTCGAATAATGTGCTAAATAAATAACATGTAATGTCAGGTGAATAATTTAGGAAGTACGTCATATTGATAGAGTTTATGATGACTGCTTCTCTGAATTTTTCGTTTTGTGTTGATCCTTTATCATTTTAGGACTATTTCCGTCTGATATCGGAAGGCAAAGCGGACGATCAATTGACAAAATGAGGTATTGACAACACCGTCTGACTTAGCTACAATGTAATCACCTTAAGAGATAAGGCCTTACGTTTCAAAAATAGCAAAACTAATCCACATTTTGCGTCCAAATCGTTTAGCATTCATACAGTCAAATAAACATAGACTCTACGCGTTTTACAGTAGTCAATTCAAAATGAACCTTAATCCAACAACACATAGAACTGAATTTAACTTGTATTACCTGTGGATATTAAGGTGGTTGGAGAATACATTTCTAGTGGCGACGAGGTAGTGTTCGATGCCGTCGACAGTCAGCCGGTACATGCCCAGGTACTGAGGCAGCAGGGTCTTGCCGTGGCGCTCCACGATATACTGGAAATATGAGGACAATTGTTATAATAAAACTAGACTAGACTTTTTTATGAGGCTTCTTTGCATTTGTTTACTTTGCTTAAAAAAAGATTGATTTAATACAGAAACCGAAACCATTGGTTAGCTGCTGAACCGATCAATGGTTATATGATAGTCAACCTGCAATCCTGCATACTAACTTGGCTGACTGACAAGGATATTTCCTAGTCTTAACTTAGAAACTTAGATATAGTAATAATCACTTTATTTCAAAAAGGTTGCTAGGTACCGTCTCATTACGATTTTATTCAATTTATTTTGTATTTGTTGACGTTCCAAAAGTACCAAATTTTAATTAATTCAAATAAATGCTTTGAAGTTATAAAATATTAAAAACAACCTTAGACAAAGATACATAATTACTTATTTAAACACAATTTTAAATTAACTTACATCAGCAGGAGACAAGGGTGTTATCTACCGCATATAATACATTATATACTATCGGAAGTAAAAACATTATGTACTTTCTACGATAATATAGCAGAGAGAATTTTATGTCTATTGTTTACATGCCAATTGATAAATCTTTGAATGATGTCCCTATCTTAGGAGCTGTGCAGTTGGCATGGAAGATAAATAGTACATAGATATCACTTTTACTGGCTGTGTAATAGGGTTTTTATATTTGTGGCGACACACGTCAAACGTATCGTATCGTATCGATGAAAAATAAATGGATGACGTCACAAAAATCCTATATCGCACAAGTGGTTTACATGCGAATTAACACGGATAGAAAATCCCAACGAACAACTGTTGGGCAGAAAGCCCGCCAGGCACGATCACCTCGCCTGGTCGGAGGATCCTCATTTTCCGATCTTAGGGAACTATACTCTCTGTTCCCTAAATATTTATGATTTAATTTAATACGTATTCTTCAATGCTTCTTGTCCTACATTATGCTTAAAATGTTCAAAGCATAGCTTGATTGTTGCTCTACCAAATAGATTAGTCATATCATTGACGATGTTTTACTTTTATTCAAATGGCGGATAGGTCAGAATCGAAACCGTAAAAGGTTACCGGGGCTCCGGCTCGAAGTGCAGAAGTAGGAACGGGGTGTTTTTTAGTGAATAAGAGTCTGACACTCCTTTCTACCTCACCCAGGCGGGAGAAGCCATTCAATGATTTTCCCCCTTAAAAAGTGTCTTTTCCTAGTGTAATTCCTGGGATTTTATAGACGATAGTAATGGCAGGGCGAATGAGGAGACGTCTCACCTGATGGTAAGTGATGAGTGCCACTCATCACCCGCATCACCAGATAAGTCAATGGTGCGTTGCAAGTCGTTCGGGAGTGTTTTTTTTAAACGTTACCCCACACTAGTACTATCTCCTGTGTCGTGGGTGCGTTTACATACACATGCCACCCAGACACGCAACATCAATCTGTGGATCACACAAAGAGTTGTACCCGCGACACGTTGCGCGCAAGACAGTTACCCAGCCACCACGCCAACCGTGTACCTAGTACCTATGTTGGGTTGGTAATAGGGTTGCCACCTTTTATTTTTGTATTTAAAGTACATTGACGGTTATAGGTAAGGAAAAAAGTACACAGTACAAAAAATAAAGTACAAATTATTCTTATTTAGTATTGTATTTAAAAATATACTTTTTATTGTTTTTTGCAGTTTGTATTAAATTAGTACCTTTACTAAACAATTGCATCTTTACTAGAAATTATCTAAGTGGCGCTGGCGAGTGGCGAAATCGATTCAACATAAGTCGATAAATATCGATATCGAATTTTGCACAAATAAAGTATTTTCGTGTACTTTATTATTTTTATAAAGTATAGAGTACAATTACCTTAAATAACGTACAATACTTTATTATAAAGTACTGGTGGCAACCCTAGTTGGTAACCTAACTAACATGGCGACAACCAATGATGGCGAAAACTTATAAACATTAAACAAATACTCACAGGATGATAATGTTTTAGGAACGAGTGCATCCTCTCCACCTCCTCAGAAGTCAGGGTCTTGAGAATGAAAAGCCTATCGTAGCTCTGATAGAACTTGGCTCCAGACTTGCCTGACGAGTCATCCGGGATTGGCTGGGATCTGTCGACAATTTAGCGTTTATTGGTTAACAATTCTATTATTATTTGCTGATTGGTTATAATTTGAGTGGTGTGATACCGTGTGACGTGTGATTGGTATAAATTCTTTAGATTTTATTTTGTTTGTACAGTAAGTTTATAACGCGATTTATATTATGTTGATTGTAAGTTGGATACATATTAAAAAAACCTTAATTATTTTATATTATATAATCTAAACGTTTCTTAACTATATTATTGTAGAAGAAGACCAATTAAACCGAACAAAAATTTGTAATATCCTTACTCCTTACTAATATTATAAATCGGAAAGTGAGTTTGTTTGTTTGTTTGTTTCTTCCGACTTCACGCCGTAACTACTAAACCGATTGCATTGAATTTTTACAGACGTAAAGTTAGTAGTCTGGATTAAATAATGGGGTACTTTTTATCCCAAAAAAATTTGATATTCCCGAGGGAAAACAAAAGTATTGGTATAGATGGCGCTGTATGTTTTGCTATATGTCCCATAGGCTACTTTTTATCCTTTTGTGACGCGAGCGAAGCCGCGGGTAAATGCTAGTTTGTAATAAAACTTTTGTGAGACATACTAAATTAATTATTAGGTATGTAGCAGTACGACAGTCGCCGCGTCGCGGGTCGCGGATACTCATGAATATGAGTCTCTAGCATAGCTCGAAACTGGTAGTTCCTCGTCAAACAGTTACGTGAGTGAGCCAAAAACATAATAATTAACATTTAAGTAAATTGATTATTTCATTTTTATTTACAATAGTGAGGAAGGAGAAAAATATGTAGGTATCACAGGTTATTATTAATAATCAACCAAGAATTAAAAACACCATTTGAAACATGTAAGTACTAATCAGACTTTATCCTAGGATATTAACAACGTATTTATTCAGATTTATTCTCATGAATAAAGAAAATCAATCTTTTTTAAAGAAATCCAAACAAAATAATTTTAAGCCTACCATATTTTAATGTAACTCTACTTTTTACAACAGATAGACGTAAAATTCAAAACGGAATATAAATTACAATGTTTGATAGCCATCAGTACAAAAGAAATAGCCGTTGGTTTATGAAGCTATTAAGCTTATAGTGTAGATAAATTGCCGGTTTATAGGCTATAGGCTGTCATTAAGATAGATCTTATTTAGGTCTTAGAATACAGGCTTTAGTTTGTCTATCAAAGGTAGCCTGACGTCACGTCGTTTAATCACATTTTTTTAAAAGATTAACACGTTAAACGCCATGGGGGTCACTGGTGACCGGCGTTAGCGGAGGATTTACCTTCAACTGTTTTTTATTGGCAGTCAAAGTCTTAACTATGGAGTTTCTTGCCCGTTCTTCTCCATTCGAAACTACACTTTGGAACGAGCGCCCAGCTTCGCTAACAGACAGTCGGACGGACAATTAATTTTTTGGACATTTCAAAAGTGTCTAATTAGTGATTAATTGAAATAAATCCTTTGACGTAGACTTTGACTTCACTGAAATGGTATGCAAAGGTGCACAGGTGCACATAAAGGTACAAAATATCACCCATTTTCACCACTATTGCCCGAATACTGAACCGTTACTCAATTTTAAGTCACGCTTAAGTATAGTTCTATCACCACTAATTCTCTGTGAAATGACAGAGATGGCACGATATTTAAGCACGACTTAAAATTGAGTAACGTTTCAGTATTCCGGCATATGTTATGAGACCTATTACGAAATCCAGACTTCGTGCTTTTAACTACTGATCCTCATCATCATATCAGCCACAGTACGTCCACTGCTGAACCTAGACCTCCCCCAATAACGTCCAGACAGGCCGGCTGGAAGCGACCTGCATCTAACTACACAAACATTTTAGATAAACTCCCTAATGAATCTTTTCCCGACTTGGAAATCAGTAAGTCTTGGTACCTACATGTTCTTTTTTATATTTAACTAGCGACCCGCCCCGGCTTCGCACGGGTGCAATATGCATGATATAAACCTTCCTTAAGAATCACTCTACCTATTAAAAAAAACCGCATCAAAATCCGTTGCGTAGTTTTAAAGATCTAAGCATACATACGGACATACAGCGAAACTACGATACGAACACGTCGTCCCATTTTCTATTTCAATTTATTTATTAAGGTTTATTTATTTTACTTACACCCCAATTCTATTTATATTAAAATACTAACAATTAATGCCTTCTTATCGCTCCAAAAGTTATTAAAAGTGTTAATAAACAACCAAACTGGATCGTTACGTCGACCACAGTATAACTTAGGAGGAAAACAAAGAACTCTATCAGTGACTCACATACTAGGCATACCTACGTCAATAATAATCTTACGAATCTACGAACATACTGACATTACGTCATTTTTTTATTATAACTAAGTCTTTGATAAACTTTTTAATTGTTACTTCTTTGTTTTATTTTAATATTCATAAACTACAGTAACCTCTATTCCTCCCATGGGCTAGAGCAGACTATGGGTGTGGTGATTCTGTAAAGACAATCTGGGCTACGAGAACAGGCAGTGAACGAACACCGCGGTGGTTTTAACGAGTCTGGCACGCCCCCGTCGTCCCCACGACGACGTGAGAAGTCCACGAGGATTTCCATCGCGATACAAATAAGACTATGGGCCTATATATTGGTTAGCACAGCCTGGGCTGCAGGATATTCAGTATTCTAATATGTACTACCAAGAGTTCGACTGTGAGGGAATGCCTTTTTGTAGGGGGAAAGACAACCAATGACTTCTCCCTTGGGTGAGGTAAGAGAGAGAGAGAGAGAGAGAGTGAGAGTGTCAGACTCTTACTGACTGAAAACCTGCTTTGAGCTGAATCCACGGTAACCAGTCAGGTTGTCCGCAGCTCCGGGTGTGAGAGACCTTAGGCATTAAGTTCGCCTATACACATAGGTATTTTGTATTAAGTTTGTAAGCTGAGCAGAAGGTAACTGATAATAACATTTGCACTAACCTGTCACGTCATTGAATCTCTTGGGATTCGATAAAAACTAACGTAAGTTTGTTTATACAAAACCCGATGTTCGATCGGCTAACTAAATAGATTTACTCTGATATAATTAAACAGTCGCTCACACTTCCAGTTGCGTAAATCCTACTAATCCATAACCTTCCGCAGACTTAGTGCATTAACGCGATTAAACTAATACACAAACTTGTAGTTTTATTTAACAAAAATCAATAGACAGCCCGTGGGAGCACACTAGTGGACTAGTGGCTTACAAAAGAGATTTCTCATTATACCTCTCTAGACAGATAGGTTGAAGATCGTAGTTAGAAAGGGTTATATTTATTATAGAGCGCTGCTGTCAACGAATCACTACAACTATAAAATATTTTGAAAAAAGAAACTTCTAAATAACGAGATTTTCAACAACGAAGACAAAGCCTCCTAAAAGCCTTCCCATCCCCAATACCATAAGCCCAAGCATACAAAATTTCACAAATCGCGACAGATGACATCTATACACACCCACTGTCCCATATACCTGGCATTACATACGCGGCCTTGGGGGGGAGGGGCTTAGACGAGATTGTCCCAAATTTGACCTTACCTTGACCTAAAAATTCATTGTAATTAAAACAAGAAAAAATTAACGAACCCGGAAATTGTTTTAACTTTTAAATGTGTTTCATTGTTTTATCTTGAGAGTAACTGATACGTTTTTGTTTGAAGCTCAGACCTAGAACCCGACTTTATACGAATCGTATAGGGTTTTATTCTACAAAAGTCAATAAAGAATTATTCATTTTAGAGTCACATACATAGAGAACATTGCATCACTATATTTTTAGTTCATTTTTCTAGTAGTGTCGATATCGTATCTACTTAGTTTTGTTGTGTTCTTTGGTAAGATTGCATCCTAGTCTACCTAGTGGCCAAAATTATCTAGGTGACGAAAAATCTTATACCATAACAAAATAATGATAAATTAGTTCACACAATCTAAAAACGATTGTTATTCATTCAAAGTGTATAAAAATTAGAATACCGTTATCAACTGTGATAGTGAATCGTGAATGAATTCGTGATTACAATCTTGCACGCCCTAACAAGTGAAAATTAAGGATACTCAAAGAAAATTACAGGGTCTTCGCAGATTACAGACTTCTTCTACAAACTCATATAATGACTCACTTCAACCTCATTTTAGTATTTGTCTGCAATCTACGTAGACATCATATAAAATCATCCTATATAGGTATGTACAAGTACGTATCTGTATCTTAATTTAATACTTATGTGCTTAGTCTTTGAGTTTCCTATCATTTGTCAAATATCATAATGCAAATTGATTCGTGTGATAACTCCTCATTAGTTGTGTGAGTGCGTAAAGATGCCAATTAACATAATACTTACCAACCGGTGAAAGTGCACATGAATGTGCTGCAGCATTAATGTGCACATGTCGTGTTAATGTTCGAAATATAAATATACATAGGTACATATATATATATATGATATATTAAGTAATCGAGACATATGGGACAATTGCAGAGGTTAAGGAACGTAAATTGAGGTCACGGTCAATCAAGGATCGAGGCACTCTTGACACCCATTTAACCTAAACTGGAATGGACAAACGGGAGAATGGGCATACAGTAACCAAAATCCAACAAAAATCCAATTCCATCCAAACATGGAGACCATCTCTCATGGAGGCCCCTTACAAGCGGTTAGACAAGGGAAATGACTTCACAATACAGCCAGTGAACGTGGTATAATGCTATGCTCGCCGTGTCAGTTCGAAAGGCACACTACATACTGTTATTTGAGAAAAAATAAAACTGAAAAAAAAAAATCGTACAGCTGCTTAGTAAAACTCCGCTGACCTCAGGCGTTTTATCGTCAGCCCCCGTTTGACGAACTCGCTTGCATCGTGGAATATGCTCTCTTGGTGCGTTTCATTTTTCATGTTGGCAACCCCGTTAGGCGCCGTCGCCGATCGCCGCAGCAAGCTGGTAGGCCTCTTGTGGGGCCTCGAACACAGGTAGTTATCTGGCTTTCTAAACCTAGGGACCACAGGGCGGGATGTGGGATCGAGGACGGAAGATAATACATATGGGAATAAACATAAACATAAATAAATACATATTCAATAAAGAAAATAATATTTATCGTTAGCGTATCACTCGTGCCAGTCCAATTGTCGTCGGGTAATGGCTATGTACTTATAGTTAGGGCTTGTACCTTGTGAGAGACTCCTTGTAGTCGAGATCATCGATACCGAACCTCTCCCTAAGGTTCCTGAACACCAGCGGGCAGTACTCCTTGACCTTGAAGTGAGATGGCATGTTTTCTCTGAAACAATCATTGAGAGATATGTAATCACTTATTAATAATTGTTATCTAAATGTATATACATAAGTGATTATGCAAATTGCACAACACTTAAATGGTAATAAGGATAAAAATAAACAAATATACTGAAGCCGTAAGCCGCTAACGTTGGTAGTCAATCTGTTACTAAATAATTTAATACATATTTGTATTTTTTTTAACTACTTAACCCTCTGTTCTAATCGACACATTTCTATATTTCTACTCTGACATCATGTAATTTATCAGACAATTTTTTTTAAATCTTTTAATTGCCAAATTGGCCCATTCTCCCCAGAGTTTGCACTTAGCGACACATTTGGCGAGTGATATTAATATTTTTACATAGATCAAATTTATGATGACAACTTGTGATCATTGTATGCTTATTGGAATTTTTCTTGATGTATCAATATCATGTGATAGTGTTAAAAGATTCCTAATATGTATCATTGGAATATTCGGACAATATCATTCAAGTTGCCTCACTTATACATATCAAACTGTTTCCGAATTACCATACCTAAGTCCTTTGCCTGATAACAGGGAAATTTTATTTCGTGGAAATGATAAACAGTGTATTAAAGACATTGATATTGACAATAATACTTGAATTTTATGTCTTATCTAGGAGGAAACTCTATTGAATAATAGAGCAATTAACACATAATAATATAAACATCATGACATAACTTTACGGTTGGTTTTTCTTGAAAATGTTATTGTATAGTTTTAGTATTCAGATGAATCCTTTTTGTACATATTTTTTCAGTAAAGTTTTTGAATACAGATTGACCCTAAAACTATTAAATAACTGGTCATACATATATTGGCTTCTGCCCGCGATTTCGTACTTGCAATCCCATTTTTCCCGTTCCCATTTGTCATTTTCGGTTAAAAGTAAAAGAAAAGTATTGGATAAAAAGTATCATATGTCCGTCTCCTGGTTCTAAGCTACCTCCCCGCAAATTTTCATCTAAATCGATTTAGCCGTTCTTGAGTTAGAAATAGTGGAACATACACGACTTTCTTTTATAGATTAAGTACTAGTTGAATTACTCCATTTTAGAGTCACAGTTTGGAATCTCCACAACAATAGGTTCTTTAGATAACTATGCTATAAAACTAAGCCTATCCTTTCGAGATAAACAAAATATCATATTGTATATTTCTAAAGTAAATAGAACATGTGTTAAGCTATTAATAAGACATTAAACAAATCATTCAGTTGCATCAATTAAATATTGACGCACCATGTAGGTTTAATAGCCAAGAGATTATAAATGGTTTAATAGACCTTAATAGCTCTCAGATTAATAATTATATATGATAGTCGAGTGTTTCTATTTATGAATAACTAGCAATAGCATTAAAACCTAGTTTTATCCGCGTACGTCAATCATAAATATCGTAAACGTGCGTTCAAACCTGAGAAACCGTCCTTCACGTTCACGAAATGCTCGCGAAGGACGCATTTGCCAGTTATGGACATACCATAGAAAGCAAAGTTATTTAATAAATTCCGAATTTTTCAAATTAGATTATTAAACAGCAGACATATAAAGTAATAAATAAAAAAATCATGAAGGATGTTTGTCATAGAATTGGATCTCAATGGAATAAGTACCTTCATCACGATACAACTTATTCTCTTCATGGTTTTTTTTTTTTTTTTTTTTTTAAGGGGGGAAAATCATCGAATGACTGCCCCCCGGGTGAGGCGGGAGGGAGTGTCAGACTCTTACTGACTAAAAACCACCCCGTTCCTTCTCCTGCACGTCGAGCCGGAGCCCCGGTTACCCGTTAGGTTCTCCGCGACTCCGAATCGGCATCGGCCCTATTGGGCCCCATCTGTGGTGGTCTGATGGCTCTTTGAGGCGCGCGCGGAACGCGACGCGCCGTACGCTCGGGTCTGTTTCTGGTCGGACGGGGAGCCACCCATGCTCGCCGTCCGCAGGCCCGCGCTTACGGTGGCCGGAGATCGTCCCGCGATCCCCGACGCCCGGTGTGTCCTTCGCGATGGCTGGGTTGCGAGGAGGCAGCGCTTCGCTGCCTCACGCGTCCCGCCTCCTCCTTAGCTAGCATGACTGCTTCGCAAAAGGAGGAGACGGCATCCCAATCCCCCTCGCTCCGCATCATGGCCTGCACTAGGCCCGGACGCGAGAGGTCGCCATCGCCGATCACTTCCCTGAGGACACGGCGGTGCTCAGCCCACGAAGGGCATTCTCCCACCGTGTGTTCCACCGTGTCCTCAGGGCGGTCCTCGCAGTGATGACACCCGGGCGTTTCCTCCCGCCCCATCAGACACAGGTACCTCCCGAAACTTCCATGTCCGGTGAGGACCTGCGTCAGGCGGTAGGTGAGGACGCCGTAGCGTCTCTCAAGCCACTCCTCAAAGAGGGGACTTACCGCTGCGATGGCAGCGAGCCCAGCCCTCGGTTGCGACAGTCGTTGCTGCCATTCCGCCATGAGATCGCGCCGGAGCTCATCCCGCCACGCACTTATCTGGCGCGGCAGCGGAGTTTCGCCCCGGCGACGTGCCTCCGCGCGCATGCTGTGCACGCGCGCGAGCACCTTCGCCTCCAGATCCCACGGCGGTAATCCGGCAAGGAGGTTCGCCGACTCCCCAGAGATCGTGCGGTATCCGCGGATCATTCGGATCGCCATGACCCTCTGTGCCATGAGCAGCGTCCGAGCGGGACGCCGCAACAGGTTAGGCGCCCAAACAGGGGCGCCGTAGAGGGCCATGGACCGCACGACCCCGGCGTATAACCTCCGGCAGGAGGCGTTTGGCCCCCCGAGGTTGGGGAGGATGCGTTTAAACGCAGCCCCCGTCCTCGCCAACTTTGGAGCCAAACGTCGGAAGTGTTCAATGAAGTTCCACCGACTGTCGAGGACGAGTCCTAGGTACTTCATCGTCGTCTCGACGCCGATGGTAACTCCTCCCGCCGTTATTTGGGACCCACCCGGAGGTGGCGCGTTCCCGCGGCCATTGAAAACACATGGCCTCGGACTTGTGGAGCGCCACCTCGAGTCCCAACTGCCGGATTCTCTCAACGACTGTCGCAACCGCTGTCGCCATTAAGTCGGCCGCCGCCTGGTGTGACCTCCCGTGCGCTAGCACCAGCGTATCGTCGGCGTAGCATATTGCTCTTCATGGGTTAAAGTTAGTATTATTGTTTGTTTCTTTGTTATTAGTGGTAAGATTTGACCCATGTTTTTGAACAACAACCAAAAGCTTTTGCTCAGTGCTTTTGTAGGCTATAAGTATTTTACTTTATATATTTTTTTATGGCATAAACCGGAAAACGAGCAGTCAGATCACCTAATGGTAAGAAATCGGCGTCGTCCATGGACACCGGGAACAACGGAGACGTTACAAGTGCGTTACCGGTCTTTTGGGAATTGGGAATTTGAGGATTAATCCCCTATTGAGAACAATGAACCCCCATTCAGGGATTTGGTTGATTAGGAAAGGGGGGAGGGTTATTTGGCCACCGGTAACCTCGATCGATCGATCGATCGATAACCTCACACGATGAAACACAACGCAAAAATACTTTTACTATTTAATCTCTGGGCCCTGGACCCTTTAGGGGAGTCAAATATAATAGATTACAATGTTCCAATATTATCCTTATATGAGACTGGTATCACAATCAAGTTTGACATTACGCTTATAAGCTTCTAGGTAATAGATTACTTATCAAAATAATGCTGATATTACTAGTTCATTTCATATTATTTATCAATATTTACCTATACTCATAAAACGTTTATTGAGTTGTTGACTCATCTACTAAACTACTGAAGGATTAGTATTTGGAAATAATTGACTGTCTTGTTGATTGTATAAAGGAGTAACAAATATAGTTTCTTGCTCGTTCTTCACCATTCGAATGTACATTTGGAACAAGCATCTAGCTTCACTGATGGACAGACTAACAGACTATTATTTATTCTGTATTTGTTGATGTTTCAAAAGTACCGAATTATGGTTTAATCGAAATAATTGCTTTGACTTTGATGGCGTGGTCGCCGATGAGATGTCGAAGAAAGGGTCTCAAGCTTTGTTTAATTAGATATTGAATATTTATTAGTATAATATTCCCTCGTAAATATTTGATGTGGTTGCTCAACTAGATTCAAGCTACGCCAAGGGTTTATAATCATTAGCAACATGCATGACAAAGACAATGTGAAGTTAACGCAGCTGACATAATTATCATGGGCTCATATTAGGGAATTAAATATTTCATACTTTGTATCTTATGGTATGCCATACCGTGACACCGATTAGGATTTCACAATACACTTATCGTTACTATTAGATTATGTACAAAACTAATTTATATTCCAATTTGATAATTCTTCTTTCTAATTGCAATATTTTCTAATAGGTATGTTTTTAACCAAACAAGGAAGCTATTGCATGAAGTACATAATAGATTAGCTACTTCCGTGCGGTTTCACATGCTTTGCTCAGCTCCTATTGGTCGTAGCGTGATGTTTTATAGCCTAAAGACATCCTCAATAAATGCCCTATCCAACACAAAAAGAATTATTCAAATCAGCCTTGTAGTTACGGAGATTAGCGCATTCAAACAAACAAAAATACAAACTCTTCCGCTTTATATAATAGTATAAGATATAAGATTTTAGGTTGTTACAGAGATGGTAAATTGTGTCTATTTTATAATTCATATATGTACATATTTTAAACTTGTGACAAAGCTAAAAATTAAAATGAATAGTAACACTGGGTCACTGGGTTTTGGGTTTTTTTTAGTAAACCTAAGCAGTAATAAAGGTTAATCAGTACCAATTAAAAGCCCATACATACAACTCTAACTGAAACCAGGAAATCACTGAATATACCTTTAGGTACCTTTACCTATATCAAACATTTTCTATGCATTATCCTTAATTTTTATTCTGTTTCTGGTACTGCATAAATCTCCTACTTCCATGAAGGAAAAACTATGTAATATGTGTGTGCAATATTGTAGAACATGTGCTACAGATTAACAGTAACTGGTATGAAAATAATAATGTGTCCTTGAATGTCTGTCTATGTTTATAGTCCAAGCAAAATTGTAAATTCTCTCTAATTTATTTCTGAACAAAATCTTGTGCACATTTTCTTGTGTTCATTTTACAATGGGATTCTATTATTGCATTCTAAATTTGAACTTTGGCTCCTTTTGTTTGAAACCTATTGTTAGAGTAATGATATACAGAGCTGCAATATACCGTGACAATTGGTATAACGATTACAGATCATATTTTTATAATCATAGTGAACCAGGCCAATAAATTATGTACAAAATAATAATTAATAATATAAATCTTATAAGTAAATCTTAAATGGTCCCATAATATTTTTCCAATGTAATTTGTGATTGATGATGCATAATTTAAAAATTTGATTTTGTATGTAGAAATCAAATCTTACTTGTTAAATAAATGGTTGTCAACTTTGAGCTTAGAATAAGCTCTGAAGTCATCAGGAAGCAGCATGACTGGAATTGTGACATGACTTAGCTCGTTAATCTGAAAAAAAAAAGTAGTTATCATTAATCTAACTACTTTTTATGCAAATATTGTTGTCACCTATATGTTCGAATATATCGGATCTACGTCCAACGCAATAAAGTTTAATAGTCTATTTATATTCAATGGCAAGGAGACACATAAAAACAGTGGATTGACAAAGTGCCAGAATTTACAATGGGATATTGGGCCTACAAGAAAAGATTTTTGTTAGATAAAAATTCGAATGTAAACATTGTAAAACCACAACAAACCAGTTGTGGGGGAAATGACATAATAATGATGCTTCGCTCACTGAGATGGTTCAAATAGGATTATACACCCGCCATACTACTGCCATTAGTGCATAAAATATCAAGTAATTACCGTGTGATTCACACCCCACATAAACACAGATAGTAATGGTTCATTTGCACGAAACAGTTTCACTTTTTGATGTTTTACACGAATATGTTTCTTCTTCAATTTGCTCAATCCAGTGCTAGGAACGGACATTTTGGAATTGTTTACAACTTTTACCAGAGTCAAAAAACCACCACTGTACGTAATTTATAGCGCGAGACAATAATTAAACCATTTTTAGTAAACGGGGAATCTTTTTAATCACAAAGAAAGACGATCAAAATGAGAAATTTACAGAAACTCGACACCCATCAACAGCAGCAAACGGCTTTTTGACAGACAGAGTCGGACACAGAATGAAAAAACTCAGTAAATGAAGTGCAACGAAAATCGACTAAATAGAGATGGCCTACATTTAAATACTAAATGGTAGTTTTTATATCTTATCTTGATAGTACGGTAGAAAAGAAAATCTACTTTCGGTTATTATTATTTTAAAGCTTATTATTTTAAGCTTATTATTTTAAAACGCAATCTTTAATTTGCGTCAGCACCACATTCTAACTCAAAATGTTGACTTTTATGAATATATGACATAAAGGATTTTTGTCGGTAGATGGCTTCACATTTACAATTTATCATCATCATTAACAACAACAGCCGAAAGACGTCCACTGCTGGACAAAATCTTCGTCCTCCACATCAAACGACAACTTGCCACTTGCATCCACTGGCTCCTCGCAAGTTCAGAGTTAGGTTCAGCCATAGGGTAAAATAGGGTTCAGCTGGCAGTGCTGGCACTGGCACTGGCACTGGCAACATTATTATTTAGTGTTGTGAGCTTTGAGCCGGTCGTTGCTATCGAGGGGTTGATATTGATACTTTGATAGATAACGATTTGATTGACAGTTAGAAAATAATTACTTTTATCGAATAGTCGAGATCGGTCCCTATTAATTTTATTGAAATTAAAACGCTGTAAATATTTTGTTGTGTGTGGTGTGATAAACGAAACAATGATAATTCCAAGCCCGTTTGTTTATTGGGCTCAAACTGAGAGTGCCATTTCATTGAAAATAGAATTAAAAAATGTTGTGGATCCTGATGTGAAAGTTCTCGAAAATAATTTGAAATTCTCGGCCCAAGGTGTTGGTGCCCGAGGCGAGAGTTTATACGAATTTAGTTTGGATTTATTTTCACCTATTAAAAATGTAAGCATCACGTTCTTATCAAATAATTTAATGCCGAACTAAATCCGGTTTATCTACGATTTAATAGATTAATTTTCGTTGAATATTTTTAATTTCTGTTGCTATGCGATTTCTATATGTATTACTTTATGACTTTCGAAAATGTGCAATATTCCTTAGCTTAACCATCTTGCCACTGAAAACTAATAAAATAAGTATTGTAGAAGAAGAAAAGCCTGTCCTGTATGTAACATAAAACTTATTTTTTTTTTATTAAAAGCATAATAATCAACCTGAAATAATCATTAGAATCATTTTAATACTGATACTATATTTTCTAACATATTAAAAACTTGTTTACCTTGTATAAACAACGGTTATAAAATTAGAAGGCCAATCTTATGTCTAATAGGAAACCGGTTTATAGTTATAAGTAAAGAAGTCTGCTTTGTAAAACGCTAAATGAAATTTAAAAAATCTTGCTAAAACTATTATTCTTTTGTAAACCCCATTGGAATTGTGCCTGGTATATGGCAATACACCTCGCTCTTATTACATGGGACTCATAACATAAATAGTGAAAAGTGGGTGTTACATTGTACAGTGGCATAATGTACACCTCTGCTTACCCCTTCATAAATAAAAAGCCTGATGTTATGTTATGTTATGTAAACCTCATTTGTTTGATCTTTTATGCAGCACAAAGGTGATTTATTATGTTAAAAGATGATATTACTAATATAATAAGACTTATAACAATTATCTATTAATGTTATCTAATAAAGCTAGTCTATTCTAATAAATCAGATACTCAAAATCTGGATGGCGGTGTCTAAAAAGGCGAAATCAACTCTCACTAAAGAAATTACCTCAATTTTAGGCTGAAAACAATCATGTTACAACAGTCCGCGTGTTCGAGAACCGAGTGGACATTGTCTTGCAGAAAGAGAAGGCAGCATGGTGGCCCCGACTTACTGCCCAGCCACAGAAACCTGCATGGCTAAAGGTAACCTATAACTACTTCTATTTTTATCATCCTCAGCCCATTTCCTTTATATTTTCTTCATGCCCAATCAAATCCTGGTACTTTTCGCTTATCATAATATCTTAATGTAGTTAGCTAAAACAAATGATAGTGTATTGAGTTGAGTCCGGCTACACTTTTTTTATAACTGACATACTCAATAATAAGACTCACCATAAACCTGGGGGTATAAGACATCGCTATTAGCTTTTTTACCTCTTTTATTAAGTACTAGCTACTTCAGCTCTTATTGGTCGTAGCATGATGTTTTATAGCCTATAGCCATCCTCGATAAATGCGCTATCCAACACAAAAAGAATTATTCAAATCAGACTTGTAGTTACAGTGATTAGCACGTTCAAACAAACAAAAAAACAGACTCTCCCGCTTTATTTAATAGTACTACTTCCGCGCGGTTTCACACGCTCCTATAAAGAAGTAAATTATAATAATTATTTATTAGATCTGGAAAGATCTTCACAATTTAGATGTTATTTTATCACTAATTGACTTATCTAGTACAAAGATTAGACCTCTGTAAATGTTGGGATATATTATCGTAAATATTTTCAATCAATATGATAGCAATTACATATCTGCTACACATATTAATACTTAGGTATCCATACATAGGATTTATTACATAATCTTAGTATCATTAGGTGCAAATTACGGCACTTAATGCCACTGTACAATGTAATTCCCACTTTTTACTATTTATATTATGAGTCACATGTAATAGGGGGTGAGCCTATTGCAGTATACCGGTCACATATCCAGCCCTGTGCTACTACTGAGATTCTTAAAAAACCCAGTAATACTTTGCCAGACCCGGAAATCGAACCCGAGACAGTCGCAATCAAGCTAGCTGTTTAGAATTGGTAATAAAAATAAGAAAATTGTCATTTTATACTCAGATAAAAAACATGGTACTTTAATAACTTGTTAACCTTGATCTTGATCTTAGTTCATGATTGCTTTATTACGAACTTGAATGTGTTTTATAGATTTAATGTACATACCAGTTTACACAAAAGCTATGATATCTTTAAAAATTCACATTGGTACTCCAGCCATTTTCTAGTCTATGCAAGTGCAACTGCCGAGCAATGGGTCTCGGGTTCGATTCCCGGGTCGGGTAAAGTAGTAGTGGGTTTTTAAAACTTGGCACGTATTTTGGAATTGTGCCCGGCTATAGTGAAAAGTGGGTGTTACACTGAACAGTGGCATTAAGAGTAGGGTTGCCACCCGTACTTTATAATAAAGTATTGTACGTTATTTAAGGTAATTGTACTCTATACTTTATAAGAATAATAAAGTACACGAAAATACTTTATTTTTGCAAACTTCATTTCTATTAAAGTCGTAAGTATTTTTCGGTAAACTTATCGATTCCATATCGATATTTATCGGTTTATGTTGAATCGATTTCGCCACTCGCCAGCGCCACTTAGACAATTTCTAGTAAAAATGCAATTATTTAGTAAAGATACTAATTTAATACAAACTGCAAAAAGCAGTAAAAATATATTTTTAAATATTACTAAATAAAAATAAATTGTACTTTATTTTTGTACTATGTACTTTTTTTTCTTACCCATAATCGTCAATGTACTTTAAATACCAAAATAAAAGGTGGCAACCCTAATTAAGAGCCACAATGTGCACCTCTGCCTACCCCTTCGAGGATAAAAAGGTTACCTTCAATAGTAATTTGCTTTTGAAATAATTAAAAAAATAATATCTACCAAGGCCTAAAGTGTGAAATACTCAATATTATTTTACAGATCAACTTTGATCTATGGAAATCGGAAGATGCAGCTGATAGTGAGGATGAGAAACGTGACGTCATGAAGGACTACCCTGGCATGTACGACAGGCTACATAAGGAGGAACTGGGATATAGAAGAGGTTCGTTCATGTATTACAGAAAACCGTACGTAGGACGTCCATCGGCAAGCTGGACAGACCACCTGATAAAGGTCGCAGGGAGCCGCTGGATGCAGTTACCTTCCAGCCGGCTTATCTGGAGGTTATTGGGGGAGGCCTATGATCAGCAGTGGACATCCTGTGGCTGATATGATGATGATGAAACTTACCCACGAGCGCCACCCATGGACACTCGCATCTCAAGATGAGTTATTTTTTGAAAAAGAAATTGGTCTTGCAACCCCAGGATCAACGAAGTATTTAACTTTCTGAAAAAAAAAACTTATTACATGAGCGAATTTATTCTTGTATAAACTACGTTTAAAAAAACCGAACCGGTTGGGTTCGGTTTTTTTGAAAGTCTAACCGACTTTCAAAATTAATATAGGTACTAAAAGTTTCACCTAAATGTAAGACACTTTTAGGAACATCGCAATTAAGATTAGATAGATAGCCAATTGCGAGATAATCGCGCACAACACACATACGTACAGGTCAAACAGACAAACTCCTTCTTTTTTGAAGTTGGTTAAAAATAGGATGTAAATATGTATCTAATGTACTGCAAGTACACCTTTATGGGCTCGTACACAAAACCGCCATGCGATGCGAATTCGCAACGCAAAAAATTACGATGCGTATTGCGATGCGATTTCGTGCGACAAGGCGTCTCCCAGGGTGACCTTTCCTTCGACGACCGTCAACCGTACTAAACGTATTTTAAATTGAAAACTAGGTCGTGACATGGATCGTAAAAAGAAGTTTGCACTTCTTTTATTGCTTAGAAGATACTGGAAAAAGAAACAAAGAACATTTTGGGAAGATAAAATATTGATGCGCGATGCGAATCTATTCGCAAGTTCTTGCGATGCGTAGAGGGAGCTCGCACATTTTTGCGATGCGACGTCGCATTGTAGTTTTGTGTACGAACTCTAAATAGACCTATTCGTGGAAAAGGTGAATGTCTGAATGGCATCCCCTATCACTGTAAAGATTTCATAGTGTTTGGTTTAAAGTTTAAAGGAAATATTTTTGTTTATAAATTGGTAGGGTATTGTGTGAACACAATCAACAAAGCAATGATTAGTGAACAATCGCTCAAATGTCGCTAAGTAATGGGGCATAGGTGTAAAGAATTTTATAAACAAAATTCCTATATTTAGCCAAATATAAGGTTCAAAGTTATTTACAACATTATTAAAACCCCACACTATTATTTTATCATTTCATCATTTTCAAGTGTGGGAGAGCCATGCTTCGGCACGAATGGGACGGCTCAACCGAAATGATACCACGGCCTCACAGAAAGCCGACGTGAAGCAACGCTTGCGTTGTGTTTCGTCGTGTGAGTAAGGTTACCGGAGGCCCAATTACCCTCCCCTTCCCCAATCTCCCTAATTCCTGAATCCCCAACGATCCTCTAACTCCTAATCCCCAAAAGGCCGGTAACGCACTTGTAACGCCGCTGGTGTTCCAGGTGTCCATGGGCGACGCCGATTGCTTACCATCAGGTGATCCGTCTGCTCGTTTTCTGGCTTATGCCATAAAAAGAAATCATACTCGTGTGTCGTGGGTGCATTTTCAAACATACAAATCTGATATTTCTCATCACAACAAATAGTTTGGATCACACAAAGGATATTGTGCTGTGCGACCACCCCGTAACTCGTTGCGCAACAGTATGTTGTCCAACTCCCTGACCACGCAGACACTTAAAATAATAAAATATGTTTATTAACAAAATGCTTCATATACATTTTTGTATGGCCCCCGACCACACACTAGGAGTAATGATGAATAACATAACGAGTATACGCGAATAAGTATAAAAAATATGTCAGCAGCCATTACAATGGCACTTACAACATAAGTTTTTGTAGAAATGCGCTCTTTATGTAAGTACTTACCTATTTACCTAAATACATGTGCATTTCAACACTTGATTTAAATAGAATGGTCATGAATATGTTTGCATAACATGTGAAAATTTCAAATATACGTTGACATGAGTTTGACTTTGTGAATTCATGCTGTTATGTACAGTTATTCTGAAATAAAAGTCGAAGTATTGATATTGACTTTAACTTTGCACTGCAGTTAGATTTTCGTTGAACTTCTGAGGAAGAAGAAGTCATTGATTCTATCTGATACTTAAAATTCATAGTCAATGAAGTTAATTTCAACATTGTCCTCAATATTGATCAATCACTTATCACTTGACTCGATTCTATTTACAATGACGAAATTCAAAAGAAAATTGAGAACTATGACCGGTCAATGAACGGTAGGGGGACATCTTATTAGCATGTCCCAAGAATTATGAGATTTTTTTAAAGCGGGGAAAATCATCGAATGACTGCCTCACCGAGGCGGGAGAGTATCAGACTCTTACTGACTAAAAACCACCACGATCCTTCTGCACGTCGAGCCGGAGCCCCGGTTACCCGTTAGGTTCTCCACGACAAAAATTATGAGAATAATGGCAATAACTTCTTCAATGTAAACTAAATTAGAGATCTGCCTATCTCTTCTCTCGCAAAAAGCTCCAGCGTTCCGAGTGTCTTTGGGCGACGCTGATAACACCATCAGGTGGTGACCCGTCAAATCGTTCGCCCCAATATTCTAGAAAATAGAAGCCGCAGAGGACTTTACGGTAGCCGGGGCCCTGGCTCGAAGTGCAGGAGTAGGAACGGGGTGGTTTTTAGTCACTAAAGTCTGACAATCCCTCCCGCCTCTCCCAGGCGAGAGAAGTCATCGGATGATTTTCGCCAATCAAAAAAACAATTAAGTAGTTCAAAAGGTTGAGACACCTGTACACAGATCGTAATCTAATTATCACACTTCAATTACAGAGGACCTCAAAAAAGTTTACCTGAAACTATACAACCTGTTCCAATTCGTCGGCTACATGTACGTGTTGACTGTGATGGCGATTCGGTACGCCAAGTTGGACTACGACTCGGTGGCCGATACTTATGAACATGTTGGACCTGCCATGAAGTTCCTGCAGCTGCTCCAGTATTTGGAAGTCATGCATCCTTTGTTTGGATATACTAGGGTGAGTGTTTTAGAAATTTTATTTTAGTGATTGTTAAATTAGGACCTAAACAGAATGACTGAACTTTAACTAAACTCTTAATCGACGAGCATAGTTTTATTAAAAATAAAGAAACACTCATTCATAACAACGCAAGTAACAACACCAACGCAAGCGCGGACGCTAGTCAGTACGACGACGTCTGCGCGACATCGCCGCGACTGCGCACGCTGCTTATGAAGAAGAGCCCCTCTGTGACCCGAAACTAGTAGAGCTTTTCTCAGTATTTTTACGTGAACAACTCGCGATATTTAGTTAAAACACAGAAAATAGAAATTGAACCTACTTCTGCATGACTAATAGTATCTTATGATTTAAGTAATTGGGGTTTCGTAATTATACAGTTTGTCCATATACCTGAGACATACTGTAATTCATTGCTGTTTCCTTCAGCTGTAGTCATTGTACATCATGGCGGACGAGTATATAGTAACGTTTTTAATAACTAATAGAGGTACTTAAAACGTGTTAAAATATGTATTAAGTTTTATCAAAATAATATTAGTTATTGCATACTAGCTCCCTCTAGTATCAAATGTATGTACTAGTTTACATAGATAATAGAAGTAAGGGAATAAATTGTCTATTCTCAATCTGCAATTCATTCGTTTTATTAAAACATACTATAAATACATCGTTGGCCGAGTGGTCGCAAGTGCGACTGCTGGGCAAGGGCTCTCGGGTTCGATTCCCGGGTCGGGCAAAGTATTACTGGGTTTTTAAAAAAAATACGGAGTCTGGAATTGGTATATGGCAATAGTGAGCCTATTGCCATATACCCCCCTATTATATGGGACTCATAACATAAATAGTGAAAAGTGAGTGTTACCTCTGCCTACCCCTTCGGGGATAAAAGGCGTGATATTTTGTTAAATACATCGCTGCCTCGCTTTTAGAGAAATTAAAGGCCTAATGTGACGTTTCCTTTCAAATACTTCCAGGGTGGCGTACTGGTGCCTTTCCTACAAGTGAGTGGGCGAGCATTCGTGTTGTTCGTAATGATTGAAGCTGAGCCTCGCATGCACACGAAACCTGTCGTCTTCTATCTGTTCGTTATGTGGAGCATGATCGAAGTTGTCAGGTGAGATAACATGATATTATTTATTTATTTATTTATTACACACACAAGTTAACATTACAGGTTTAGGACCCAATGCGATAACAAGGAATTATAAAATCTAGCGACTACTTACACCATATTAGACTTTAGGTACTAACTAATAATCCAAACTATTACAGAGATAAAGAGAAACACAAACCCTGTATTAGGTAAACTTAATAAATTATTATATGACGTTATTGACTTTAATGACTAATGCAAAAGAATTTTAGAAAATCTTCTACACTCCTAAAGGAGCTCTTGTAAAATGAAAAGCTTATTCGCAAAGGGTCAAAGTAAGATAGCGGCTTTTACTTGATTCTCGCGACCTCATTCACGAGGTAGAAGTCAAAGAATGAGTCACGATGAAATCAAATACTTATAAAATGCTCCCGATATTTAGGTCTTAAGTAAGAATTTACTGACTGTCTCGTTGGCCGAGTGGTCGCAAGTGCGAATCAAGGCAAGGGGTCTCGGGGACGATTCCCGGGTCGGGCAAAGTATTACTGGGTTTTTAAAAATTCTCAGTAGTAGCACGGAGTCTGGAATTGTGCCCGGTATATTATGGCAATAGGCTCACCCCCTATTACATGGGACTCATAACATAAATAGTGAAAAGTGGGTGTTACATTACAGAGTGGCATAATGTGCACCTCTGCCTACTTCTACGGGGATAAAAGGCGTGATGTTGTTATGTAAAAATTTATTCATTTTCTTTGTTTTAACTTCCAGGTACCCCTACTATATATCACAGCTCTACAAAAAGGACTTTTACATCCTAACCTGGCTGCGCTACACCATGTGGATCCCTCTCTACCCAATCGGCATCATCTGCGAGGCCATAGTCATTCTACGTAACATACCGTACTTTGAAGAAACTCAAAGATTCACCGTCTCTTTACCAAATGAATGGAACTTTGCTTTCCATATGCCAACCTTCCTTAGGGTATACCTTCTCTTCCTAACGTTCCCTGGAATGTACTTCGTTATGAGTCACATGCACAAACTCCGTACCGTTAAGCTGAAGCCAAAGATTGTCATTAAGAAATCCAAATAAGGAAGGCTGCACTCACTATTACATGTTTAATATTCTATTCTAAGGTATATGGGGTATTACTTGTTTTAGTCCAATTAAAAAAAGCATTTATGGTCGCGGATAGTAATTAGGATTGGTATTTTACATTAATTAGGTAATATGGCTTCATTCGAGAAGGACGCTCGAGTAGTTACAAGCCACTGCTCTCACTTATGAGACCCTGTCGGGGCTTGAAACGACTCGAGCATCCATTTCGAATAACTTACGTAAATATGCTATAATCTAATTAATGTAGTATAACCTCACGATAGTTCGATAGACATACATTTTTACTTTGCATTTTTAAGATTATGCTCAAAATCTGTCCTGTGTCAATCGGTTGTTCACCAAAGATTACAAATATATTGCAATTTTTACCTGTACATGTGAGTCGGCCATTTTTCCTGCCATTTAGCCTTTTCAGATTAGCATAGACTTGTTTAGCTTTGTAAAGTATAGGCAAAAAATCAATAGCCGGTGTTTTGAACATTCAGTATTGTGTATGTGCATAATTGATTAGCAATTTTGCATATTACTTATATATTTATTGGATAATCTAGATATGGTCTACACTCCTATAAAACTGAGGTATTCTGTAGTATTTTATGAAAAATATAGATATTATTATTATTATTTATTGAAAATGTCAATTTATTGCCGGTATTAAATATGGTTGCAAATTACTTATTTATATTTATGTTATAATAACTTTCGTGAGACATGCTAAATTAATTATTATGTTTTTTTGGTTCACTCACGTAATTAATTGACGAGGAACTCGACACTCAACTAGATGCAGATGGCTCTCGCATGAAGAATATGATATGAGAATATGAGCCTCTAGCATGGCTTGAAACTAGTAGAGTTCCTCGTCAAATAGTTAAGTGAGTAAGCCGATAAACAAAATAATTATTTATAATGCAATATGTATCTAAATAATCAAGTAATAAAGTTCACAATTACTTTGAAAGCCTAGTTAGCCAATTATGTCTCAATTTTATGAACTTCCATTTTTTATATAAAATTAGTCATGGAAACAATTTAATTATGATAATACGAGTCTTATGTCCCTTTTAGACTTTAAGACATATATTAATATATACGTAGATATAATAATTGTACATAGTTGTTGCATTCTGAGTGGGTTTCATTGGAAATTGAGCTTTATCTCCAAGTCATACAGTTACCAACAGTTTGCACCACCGAAATGCAACATTTTTATTGTGGAATACGGTATTATGGAGTCATATGATTTGCGGAAGTAATTTCACTTCGATGAAATGAATTTATTTAAAAATTGTCATATTTATTTATTGATATGGACAATGTTAAGTAATTCCGAAATTTATTCATGTCGGTAAATGAGAGATGCGAAGTGATAATTTATAAGTATTTAATATTTATGTTTACATTTTTGTATACTCGATGGTATGGTGACAGTAATAAATGTTTTGTTATATAAAATTAAATATTGTTTTCCTTTTTTTTCTAAAAAAAGTGTTGCCGCACACTAGGATTTTCTTCTGTGTCGTGGGTGCGTATACAAACATACAACTTCACATACACATCACACCCTGACCCTAAATAACAATTTGTGAATTACACAGAGTTGCTCCGTGCGAGAATCGACCCCGCTACACGCTATACCGTGTCAACCGTGACTGCACGGTTGGCGAGATGGCTGGGCTGAAGAAATTGATTATTTGCAGTTATTCATACACATATACATAAGTATATATTTAGTTTGTCGGCTATAGTCGACCGCGGCGCGACAAAAAACAACGCTAATTCTTTAAAAAGAATTTAATTTGAATGAATGACTTCTTCCGCCTGGGTGAGGCGGGAGGAAGTGTCAGACTCTTACTGACTACTTCTTACAGACTCTTACTAACCACACCGTTCCTACTCATGTGGTTCGAGCCGGAGCCCCGGTAACCCGTTAGGTTCTCCGCGACATTTTTTACACTTTAGGGCCGATTTTTCCAACCCCAGATAAATTTTAACTGAGGAATAACTCAGAATTCTTCCAAATTAAATTCAGTTAAGTATTATTATTGTATTACACAAATAAAACACGCAATCTCATCCTATGTTTTATTGAAATGAAATCAACCTACAAATCAATACACAGTAACCACACTCGTACGTAACAGTAACATATTAACTTTACGCAAGGTGATAAGATCAGCCTGCTGCAGCCAGCATTACCTTCTTAAGAGCGCAGCTTGAGGTAAGCACGTTGGAACCACTCCCAGGGCCTGGAGTGAGCGTAGTACTCGTGGAAGATTGGCTCAACCAGAGTGTCGGGGGGAAGGAGTTTGTACACCTTCTCACCGTAGTAGGTGCCCACCTGTAAAGCGATAAGAGCTTAAGTTAACTTTTCTAATTAAATATAAAGATTAAGACATTTATTTGCGTAAAATATGATATACAAAGATGTTATAGTAACAATATAATAAATCATCATGGCGTGCTTAATAAATAAAGCATGCAAATTTTAATTTTTAACTTATTTGAAATACTTATAGTTATAGGTTACATATTATTAATGTTCAAAAAGTTCCTTAATGCTATAAAAGTTATTTTCATTCAACCATACACATAATTTAATTATAAACAGTCTGAGGTTGAGTATTTCTATGTACTCGGCAATTGATTAAATATTCGGACACACATAGATAGGCAGGTTTTATTATATTTTGTTAGCTTAGGAAACTCGTCTAGTACTAGTCTGTATTTCCTGAAGGGTATAACCTGGGAGTCTTCAAGGCCCGAGTGAATAGGTTGCTTATGGGACGACGTGCTCCATCATAGACAGCATCATTGCTTACCACCAGTGATCAAAAGTCGCCCCATCAAATATGGTCGCGTCAACTTCTCAAACATACATCTTCTGCCGTTTTGAACAGCCTTTTATGTTTAAATATGAAAGGTACTTTATGAACAGTCATGTAGTTTTAGTAACATGATTCTTACTAATCACTTGATAAATATTAATTTAGGAGTATAAAACATTATATAACAGTATATAACAATAGGAGTATAAAATTTTTTTATGTAATATTGTAGTACAATCTGGTCCTTACCTCCCATCCGGGAACATCCTTCATGAGTTCAGCCTCCGCATCACGGTTCTTACGGAGTTGCTTCAGGAAAGCCCTGTCTCTTTCGGCCAGCAGCATCGGGTATATAGCCATCCGGGCAGAACGCATCTCAATTTGATCTCTTAATATTTGTTTGTAGTTCAGGCTATAGAGGTACATTGCGAATGCTGTTATACCAAAGTAGCCCGCAAACATAGTATACCCTGGTAATACAATAATACAATTTTAGTAACTATGCAAGTCTTTACATTTGAGAACATCTTAATGGTGAATATTCGATTAAGTGGTGAAGATGTCCTTCAAAATTTTGTTTTATCACAATAATCAATAAAAAATAGAGGTCATTAGCAGTGTGTTTACTATGTTATATACATATCATGCATTCATTATATTGTCACTTTTTAATGTTTTGCATCTAATAGGAATTATTTCAGGTAAAAAACTGACAGAAGAATGAACAGAGGAGTACAGAAAACAAAACAACCTAACCTAAAAATGCAAGTTACATAATCTGATATTAGTCTAGTTTACAGAGTAAATTTTGCAAAAGTTATATTATACTTACCGCTAAATAAGGTTTTAGCAGGTATTCTTTTGTAAGGGATTGGTTTGTAGCCCCCCGGAGGGGGCAAATCTTGTTTACGGGCTACCTGACAAGCCTGATCCATCTTTCGATTTGACAGATTCAGGATTTGACATAACACAAAAATCAACAGCTGACTGACAGTTCTCAAGACGTTTCAACTCTCACAAAATCTCAATCGATTGCTTGATTTTGGAGACCATTATTTAAATGAAAAACCAGACTAAAATTATTTTAGAATATTCGTAATAATGGGGGTAATATACTGACTATAGTTTCTAGCAAATGTATGTACACTTGCACGTGATGTAGGTAGGTACTTGGTATGTTTCTATTAATGCTCTTTGTAATGTAATGTGTAAATAATCCTAACAATGAGTTTCTCTAGCAACTAATAACAGTATCTTTTGACAAGCTTTTTAACCGACTTCATGTGTTAAAAAAAATCATTTTTCACGTAGCAAAAACTTACGATTAACAAAAATGAACGCTCAGAACAGTGATGCAGGCGTTCAAGCTGATATTCCTGAACAACAACATGAAGAAAGTACTTTGAAAATTAGACCTTTAGAGAGGATAAAACTTTATCCGAAAGCCCCTATTGAACAGAGTAGTTATGGCAAAGGAAAGAATTTTAGCCGACCATGGATCCTACAAGATGGACGTGAAGCTCCCGACAAAGGAAGTGAAATGCGTCGCTCTTATCAAATCCCTAAAAAACCACATCGCGGGGAAGGTATTGCTCTTCAATTATTGGCAGGAACTTATTTTTATAATGTTGAGCCCAAAATTTAATATGAAACGCTGAGACTTATCTGCCCAGAGTCCACCCTCATTTATTTTTATTTCCTGTTCTGTCTAGGTATTCGAAAGAGAATGTTAACTGATTTCTTTTGGGAACAAATGCTGGACGAAGTCATCGATGAGTTGGCTACGACTCAACCAGTTTCTGAATATTGTACCGAATATGACGCTAATTATATCAAAGACGAGTTTGAACCTCGTAATTTGGAAATCACTGCTGATAGAACTGTAAGATATTTTTGTTAGATAAATATAGGTTATTGAGTAATTTTTGATGCTTTACTTGTAGGTATGAGTGAGTACTTATATGAATGTGCACTTTCAGATGCATCTCAAATATCCATTGTACGGGACTGGATCCAGTGCTATTACTTTTTACAGCGAGACCATAAAGAAAACTGGTCCAGTAAGTACCTAACACGTTTTCTAAATTAATTTTAGTGTATGTTTTGTTAATCACATCTTATCATGGGCCATTTTCATTGCAGGGTGAGATTTTAGAGAAGTTTCGGAGATGCCAATACTTTACTCGTCCAATGGAAGAGCGATTGGATGACGGCTGGGTTTTGTAGATAGTTTAACTTAGCTACCGTTCAAACATTAAATTAAATTATACCGTATTTAATAAATTCTTAATTTCAAATAATATTATATAATAATTATTTCAAAAATAAAAAGCCTTATTTCAATGCTTTCTATGCGTAAATGTTTTTCAAGACCCGTTCTGATGAATTGCTAGTTGCCATCTCGAAGGCGCTGTTACGCGAGCGAACGGGACTTAACAAATAACTACCTATTTATACAGGTAGGTAGATAAGTACATTACCAACGACAGTAAATAAAAAGAAAAAACACATTTTCTAAATGAAAATAAATATACTGAAGAAAAAGCACACCCACATCACACACTACATAATTGAATAAAACAAACAAAATTAAACAAATAATAACGGTTACATTTTACAAGTTAACCTTAAAATAGTAGGTCATCATCATCCCAGTTATGTGGATAGCAGACCGGCTTGAAGTCGCCCGAGTCCGTGGTGGTGGTGGTCAGTGAGGAGCACGCGAGGATGCTTGTCAGACACTCTACAGAATGGTGACGAGGGGGCGCACCCGGCTTTGCTTCTGTATAATGAAATAATATTTTAAATGTATTCTGCATTCGAATTTTCTCCGATTGTGCTTGGTCACATGAAAAGCCTGGCTCCAGCTAGGCTAGGCTTTTCTCATGTGTGCGATTCCAAACAGAGAAAACTTAGGTACACATCTAGCATACGCACACGCAGACTAGAAACAACGATTTCTGGATCATATAAAGATTTGTTTTATGTGGGAATCGAACCCGGTACACGATACCCAGACAATGCATGCGTGATTCATGTATAAGCGGTTGTCATTGACTTATGAAAGTTATTATTAATACGATAAGTATGATACCATCAGCTTCTCCCGTTTCACCGCCTCCTCCCGCGCTGACCGTCTGCCGTAGGAATGCGCGCGCCTGACTTTTAACCTTCTTCGCTTTCACCATTTTCAAACGATGGAATTCTTCTCTCTCCTATTTTAACAAAAAAACGATATTGTGCGTGTACCTTTTCAAGGTTTCTGTGTTATTATGTATGTGAGTTGTAAATCAAGAGTTACCCTTTCATCCATTTCCATCATAATATAGGTTTCAGTGTTGCGTAATTTCGGCATAATAACTTTTTCAATGCCATTCACTTTCCTGTTGAGTTCATTATAAAATTACATCTAAGTAAGTCTCATTTTAAACCCAAACAATAAGTAATATTAGCTAAAATTTCACCTTAAAGTAGACCTAATGGACTCATCCAATAAGATACAAGTGTTTCTCAAAGAGGCAAACTTGACCAAGGTCCGGACAGCCTCTCTAAAAGCTTTCTTGGCCTCGGTAGTGCGATGCCCACCGGCTCCAAGGCCAGCATAGCGCATCGAGTCGCATACCCCAGTCTCTTCAAGAGCTTGGAGGGAAATTGTAGACACCCCTGATATGTTCTCCGATATACGTTGCACTCGAATTTGAGCCTGTATTAAATGATTGATGATAATAAAGACATATTAAACATTTTTGGCAACTGTGGCTATCTACAGTTTAAATGGATTTTATTAAAGAACATACAATTTCATAAAAAATACTATTTTTCATGAATACGTAAATTATGGACAAGATATTAAAAAAATTACTATTGCTGCTAATATCACCATGAATTAATATAACATCACGCCTTTTATCCCCGAAGGGACACATTATACCACTGTACAATGTAACACCCACTTTTCACTTTTTATGTTAGGAGTCCTACTACC